CTCATCCTGACACCTGAGTGCTGGGAGGCACCTTGGTGATGGTGGTGAGAGCAGTGAGCAAACAAACTCTCTCTGCACCACAGCTCCTGCTGCATCCCATTCCTCCTGCTCACCCTGCCCCAGCACAAACCTTCTGGAAGCATCTCCCAGCCTTCTCTCCCAACCCATCCTCTTTGCAAAGCTCCCCAGAGCTCTGAAAGCCCCAGGGGCCACAGCTGAGGACCCAATGTCCAGGTGGTCACTGGCACCAGCTCTGCCATTTGCAGCCTGGGTGACTTTTACAGTGACATCCAAAATAGCAGAATATTATTTATGATCATAAAAGAGAGCCAGGCTGTGGTCACACATTGTCCTTGTCCCCTCTGCCACTGCAGGGTGACAACTGCTCTCCCCCAGCCTGTCCTGTGCCACCCAGGGGCTGTCCCTGCTGGAAATGACTGCTCCTCAGATCTGTCAGCACAGCCACATGAGTAATCACCCACAGCCAACTGCAGGCAGCACAGCCCAACTCAGAACAGCCCTTTTTAGGCAGCCAGACCCATGTCACCAGAGTGCCACCAGCGAGCTGGGTGCCAGCAGCCACCCCCGAGCCTGGGCATGGTGCCAGGTGAGTCATCCTGCACTGCCCAACCCAACCCAGAGCCTGCAGGGATCCCACTCAGATCCTGCAGGGATCCAACCCAGAGCCTGCAGGAATCCAGCTCTCAAAGAACCCAGGTAAGGTGGGGAGGTTGCCCTAAGTTTTGGGGCACAAACAGGGCATCCATGGCTGGCAGGAGGTCACACACACTGAGGGGCAGGCTCCTCAAACCTGCAGTGCTGTGCTCCAACCCACACTGGCACCCTGGGAGGGATGCAACACTTCCAGGGTGCTTCTGCCACCCACAGGTGCTGCAAAGTGGACCCTGGGCAGGAGATGGAAGCAGCAGCGGTGTCCCCTCCCTCAGGGATGCCCCACTCTGGGTGCTGCAAGCCCAGCAGGCAGGAATGATGAGGAGGTGAGTGTTGGGAAAGATGGAACAAGAAAGCCTTACCAATATGATTGTCTGGCAAAAGATTTTGAGAATATAGAAACTATAAGTGAGATTGAAATGAAAGCAAGCTTTGAAATATCTCAGTTACTGAACAAATGGAAAACAATGGTGTGGCCAGCTGAAGGTGATCCCCTTTTGATGGAACAACACCCTCTGCTTGCAGACAGGCCCAAGGGTCAGAGCAGACCCTACAGCTTGGCAGAAGGGGCCCAAAGAGGAGTTTTTAGGCTTTAAAATGTAACACAGTGTGGTAACGTAATGATTCTTATAGGCTGTATGTAAATGCTGTAGGATTTGTATATTGTACTAGATTGGTTAGTGAGAATCAGAATATTCAGCACAGAAGAAGATTTATTGTGTTGTAATGGGAACTTTGCCCTCTTACCCCTTTTTACTCTCTTACCCCTTTTGCTCTCTCACCCTCTGACCCTCTCTACCCCTCTCTTCTCTTGGGCCTGCTCTGTGCTGTGGCTGCAGCTCCCAGCAGGGCCCTGCACCCAGGCCCTTTGCAATGAACCCCAAATCCCAGCAGGGCCATGCACCCAGGCCCTTTGCAATAAACCCCAAATCCCAGCAGGGCCCTGCACCCAGGCCCTCTGCAATAAACCCCAAATCCCAGCAGGGACCCTGCACTTGGCCCTTTGCAATAAACCCCAAATTCCAGACCTGGCCTCAGAGATCTCTCATCTCCATCCATCCCAACCATCCCACCCCCAACACTCCCACAGCTGAGGGGCTCACCGTGGGTCTCACCTGCACTGGCTGGCCTCTGTGGCAGCCCTGGGGACACGGTGTTCCTCTGCAAGGCTGGCTGCTGTGGGGACAGGAGCCGGGGGTCTGTCAGCGAGGAGGTCACCAGGGACTGGGTGACCAGAGAGCTGCCAGGGTTGCTGAACTGCAGCGAGTTCTGGTTGGTCACCGGCACCGTCACGGGCATGGCGAAGTTCGGAGCGGGCACTGTGGACTGAACAGAGAGCAGGGGGTAAAGGGGAGCCGGGTTCCTGCAGGCCAAGGGGGACAGGCAGGCTCCTCAAACCTGCACTGCTGTGCTTGAGCCCACTCTGGCACCTTGCAGGGGATGCACAAGAGCCCATTCCTCACCAGAACAGTTCTTGCAGCACAGCACAGCTGCTGGACAGGGGGGAGAGTCAGGGTCTTCAAATGTGCAGTGCTGACCTACAATGCTGTGCTCAAACCCACTCTGGCGCTTTGGGGGATGCCCCAGAGCCCAGTCCCCACCAGGGAACACCAG